GATCTTCTTTGCTTATCCCTATATATATATTACTCTGAATTGACATTAAATAATGGATATCACTTCAACAATAACGTGTACTAAGTGCCTAGTATGTACCCTAGTCAGGAATACAAAAAACAAAAAGGAATCTAACACATTGCATTTTGCTTTTTATGAGCTGATAATCTGTATATGGAAGCAACTCACAGAGAGAAAATAGCTTGATAAAAAGCAAGGGTGTCAATATATAAAGTACTAAAATAAGGGGAAAGATATTAAATGATATAGAATTGAATTATATAGCCAATAACAAAAAGAAGGCTGCTTGTAAAATCCAGACTTAATAGGCTCTGAAGCAGAAATCTTTTTCATTCATTTATCAATGCTTACATTGATTTTTATTTCAACACTTACTATATTATATTTATACTTCATGTTTTCTCATCTTTAGATTACTCTACATGTCTTCCCTTGGCAGATATTTGATGCTTTTTCTGTGTTTCCTCAGAATTTTGTGTGAACTTCTATTATAACACTAACTCTTGGGTTGTCAGTGGCCTAGAGAAGGGGCTCCAAAAGTCAGATAGACCTGGGATTGAATCTCAACTCTGCCACTTACTAGCTTTGTGATCTCAACCAAATTACTTACCCTACAACTTTATTTTCTTCATCTGTTAAATGGAGATAAGAATAGATTCTTATAAATGCTAAATTAAGTAATACATGTAATAGTGCCTTAGTATAATTTCTGGCACACAGTAAATGTCAACTCATCTTTATGGGCACCTCTTTGTCTCTCCTACTATATATACTATGATCTCCACGAAGAAAGGGACCCAATCCTAGAAGTCTTTTGAGTGAATTTGCATTCAAATTCAGCTCTGTATAATAATCCTTTTTCTTGACCAAAGGTCATATGTCATGTTAGTTTGCTATCTCGGAGACACTTAAAGAGGGAAGATTCCCAGAGAGCCTATCTTGTGCTAATCTGGTGGGGTTGCTTAAGGGTAAATATTCTAGTTATTGATACTTGTATATACCCCTAACTATGGTCTGGGAAACTATTGATCTGGGTTTCCCTAAAGTTCTTGTGCCCATTAATTTTTCTGGTCACTTTCCCTATTGAAGACATGGCTGCACTTTTCCTGGGATGGCTAATAATTTTTCTCTTAAATTCACCTTTAAATACTTATTCCAGAACATCCTGTATGCAGCTAAAGTCATTTTACATTTGGCAACTCTGAGAAATATGAAAGTGCAATTACAGAGCACATTCTCCTCTTTACTCTAGTTGTTCCAGTGTTACATTTCCTATGAAGTTCACTAAGAGTTTAAGGGGAAAACAATGTAGCCATCTTTCCCTTTGACTTAGTGCAATAATTTAAATAGTCCTTTCAAAGTAATGTGTGGATATATTTATATAACTCTAGCTATAGTTATGAATATTCTGGAGATATATATATATATATATGGTTATATATATAGATGAAAAAGTCTGTAAGGCTATGTATCTCAAAAAATTAATAGTGGTAATCATTGGGTGGTGATATTATCAGTGTATTTTTTTCTTTATACTTTTCAACATAAATCAGTGTTGGATTGGTTCGCTTTCTGCTTTCACTTCAGCTGTGACAATTCTCTCAGAGACTGCTGTCTTAAAGTCCCTTTTCCCCTTCTTCTTTAGTAATAGAATTTTTAGCTGAGTACAGGGATGCCCAGAGTAAAGACTGTATTTTAAAGCCTCCCTTGAAACTAAATGGAGCCAAGTGTTTACCCTTCTGGTTAATGGGAAGTGATTAGAAATGTCATATGTGATTTGGGGAAAGAGTCCTTAACTAGAAGATGCCTGTTGTTCTTCCTTTCTTTCTCCTTCTTACTGACCAAGAAGAAGATAGACTGGTTAGAAGCTGAGCAGCTCTTTTGAGCCAGGAAGATAAAGGTCACACCCTAGGACAGCGAACTGGAAAGCTGGAAGAAGCTGGATCCACGACAACTTTATGAACCTTGCCATATCAGCCCTAGGCTTCTCATCTCTTGGACATTTTATGTGCGAGCGTAACATGTATGTTTAAACCACTGTTAATTTGGATTTTATGGTACAGCGAAGTGAAATCCTAATTGACATGGAATTAATGTATAATTCATATTATCCTTTACCTCAAAGGTGAAGAATTTATATTATATGCTCTTCCCTAGACCCACATAATTTCTGTAAGTGAACTGTTGAGCTTTGATTTTTATACAGCTTAAAAATGTCCAATCTCCTAAAACTTTAGTTCAATGGAAACATTAGCACATGTTTACCAAAAACACATATAAAACTGTTCATGGCAGAATCTGTATATGATAGCAAAAATTGAGAAACCACTGATGAAAATGGTTAAATAAATTGTGGTGCATTCCTGCTATTGAATAGTATACAACAGTGAAAATGAATTACCTATAACCACATATTATTGGTAAATCTTTGGAACATAATTTTGAGCCCAAAGGACAAGTCCCAGAAGATAACATATAACTTCAAAAACAAATAAAACTAGCATATTATGCAGGTCCACGCATATGTGTAATAAAATATAAAGAAAAGTAAGGGTATGATAACAAGCAAAATTTAATAGGATGGTTACTACTGAGGGGAAGGTTTGGGGTGGGATAGAAGAGGAACACATAGGCCAGTGTGAGTCATGGAGGGCTTTTAGCTCTTGGGTTGAGAGGTGGGTCCATGAGTGGTTTATTATATTATTACCATATATACAATATAAGTCAAATAAATAAAGTTTATGTAAGGACCAAAGGACCAATCTTAGTTTTAATTCATGACACTGTTAATGTGAATCAAGACTATGATTAATACAGATTTGTGCTTCTGAAGTTCATAAAATAATCATACCACTTATGAAGCTGCCTATTAGGCAGGCCTGGTTTTATTTCTATAAATTAGACAACAAGGATGAATGTATTTTTATTTGTATATCCAACTGCTTCCCTATCCAGGCTGTTAAAATAAATTTTTAATTTTAGAATAGTTTGACATTTACAGAAAAATTGCTAGGATAGTATGGAGTTATTGTAAACCCGTCCCCCAACCACCAATCCTGTTTCCCCCACTGTTAACATCTTACATTACTATGGTACATTTGTTCCAATTAATGAACCAATGATTATACGTTATTATCAACCTTAACCAGATTTTAAGCTTCCTGAGAACAGGGCTCATGCATTTTAGCATTCCCCAGCATCTTGCGTCTGGACACTGCTCCATGTGTACTGAATTATGAGGAAATTAAACTTCCTAAATGACTAAATTGTCTGCAAAAAGCTCTATATTTCATGATCATTTATAATTTGCTTTAAGCAGCTAAAGCTGCTTTGAGATATAACCTTGAGCTAAGTGGGGTTCAATGTTCTTAAAACTCATTGTTTTTGAATTATTTACAAGCGTTCTCATTAGAATGAGCACAGGGAGCCAAGTGCTGAACTGGGTATTTTTTTCCTCCCTGGGTTTCTTTTCTAAATCAGGTCACAGAAAATGGATGCTATTTCTTTAAATAATATAACCAAGTCGATCCCTGGATTACAATTAGGTTACGTAACTTGCTTATGAGCTGCTTTTCATTAAGACTTGCAGTGGGCAATGGGGCTTTACATTTCAGAGCAAAGCTGGGAGAACAATCCTGCTAAAAGCCAGAACACATGCAGTGTCGGAGGCTGGGACTGCAATAACTTCGGCACAGGATTGAGTTCAATGTAGGCGGCTTCTTTTCTCTTTAAATCCTTAAAACATTCTTTGTCCTAACAAACTCCCTGGTTCCAAATACATCTAAAACATATGTGCTGAGAGCTAGCACCACACCAAGGGGAGATCACAGTGACTGGTCCCCATGAGGCTGAGCAATGGGGAGCCCTCCAGGGAGGACATTATCAAGTTTCTGCAGAACTCTGGCTCGGTCTCATTTCTTGCAGAACACAGATTACTAGGGAACATTAAAAAAATGTGGCCAAGGGAGGTAACAAAAATTCTCGTCCCAGCCTATAGCCATAAATGCCAATAAGTATTTCAGAGGTATAGTAAGTAAAACAGAAGGTGTCAGATCAGGTAGAAAACAAGAAACGTGGTATCAAAGAAATCAAGTCGGAAGAGATTCTGGGTGGGGGGTTCAACAAAACATGCAAACATCTGTTCTTAGAAGTGGAGACACAGCCAACTTTCCTCAAAAAGAAGTTGTTCACTGCTGTTATACAGGCTTCCACTACAGGATGAGACCATTTTTGATACTAATACCAGAACCCCCTCACAGAAGATGATAACTACTGGAAATTAAAGTTTTACTGTTAAAGTAAGAACTATCAGAGGATGGGACAAAGAACTCTTGACAATAAATAAACAGGGAAAAGCTCTGCTGGAGAGGGAACCAGAACAGGCTCATGAAAGAAAGGACAGTGTAATGCAAAGTTTTACCAAATGCAAAATTCTTTTCTGAAGTGGAATTACTCCACAGTGATTAAAATAGGAATCAGGAACAATTAAATGAAGTCAGAGCCCTTCATGAACCTGAAGAAATATCTATCATTTATTATATGCAATGGCCGAAAGGATACTTCTTGAAGCAGTTAAATTAAAACTAGTTTCTTAACTTTTGATAAATATGATATCTTACAAATTCATAAAGTCAAGAAAGATATTATATTATACAGCTATATAAAATGAGTAGGAGAATTTTTTTAACTTATAGTTAACTCTTAAAACATTGTGGTTAGCTTTCAACTACTAATACTTAATATTTGTAGTTAAGATTTGTAAGTTTTTTAACTTAAAAATAAACCTTTAACTATCAATAGTACTACCCATGTTAATGTAAACTATATGATTGGATGCAAAGCAGTTAATTAATTCTAATAGTATTGCACATTAATCTTGGCTACAACACAGTCTAAAATTTGCCTAAGCCCTGTTGGTTGCTTGGGAGTCTTTGATTATTGTGTGTGTGTCTAATTTACTAATGAACTTGATGTCATTTAGGGCTGAAGCAAGCACATCTGAACGGGTCTGGCTGCTCCTGGACAGCTGGGGAAGGGCACCCACAGTGTTCTGAGCAGAGTTGGAAGAACACCAGAGCTGCAATGAGTCAGAGGCTTTCAAAGTGTATGGTGAGTCAGAATCAATGCCCCCCAACCCCACCCCAGCTGTAGCAAAAAAAAAAAGGGTGTGTGTGTGTGTGTGTGTGTGTGTGTGTGTGTGTGTGTGTGTGTAGTTCTAAACAGGAAGGTATTAAAGGACACACCACAGTCCACAATCTCCTCACTGTGACCCTTGGCACCCTGCATGCTGTGGATTTTGCCCATTCCTAAGGAGGCACAGACCAAAGATCACAATCTGAGTAATGGCCAGAAAGAAGGCTATCAAAGCTCACCCCAATCCTAACCCTAACATGATGGACAGTAAGAAAGGGAACAGATTGGCCAGTACCTGCCTTAGGGGTATGATCACCATCAATATATTTTGAGAAATGTGCAAGTGGTCCTGAGAGCCAGGGAGATGGATGAGGGGAAGTGTATGAATTCTGGATCTCAAAGACTTGGGTTTAAGTTTAAATAACTTTCCCTGTCACATATTTGTGTACTATTGGGGCAAGTCACTTAAACACTCTGAGCTGTACTTCCCTTATCCAAAGGTATTAAGATTCTTTCTCATTCGGTGGGTGGTTTGGTGGCAGGGAGTGGGGGAGGGAGGTGGGGGTAGGGAGTTGCAAGTTGCTAAACAGGATTTCGTGGTACTGCTTAGCTCAACACTGGGCCTAAAATTAAGGAGGTAGTCAATAAAATATTTGCTGAATGAATATCTAAGTGATACTATAACTAGATAGTATCACTTAGATACTTTCTAAGTGGTATCTGTTCTTGATCTCTGGTGGACATGTTTTTCTAGGACGTAGTTACTTTAGACTCTCCCATATCCCCCAGGGTCTGTCTTCTAATCTGGGAATTGTCTATGTTTTATGAGGAAAGATTATGTAGAAAAGCTACAAGAAATATTTAAGGTATCATAAAGCTCTGTTCAATAATCTATAAACACATACAAACTTCACGGTAAGGGCTCTCCCAGCCAACATGCCGCCACTGAAAATTAACAGCTTAATCATGGTGAGAAAGCCAGAGACTTTTGAGTTTTATTTCAATATTAGTGCTTATTTTGGAGAAATATTCAGCATTCTTTTGATGAATTTTTACTCTACAAGTCTTTGTTTCAGGTCCACCCAACAAAAAGAATTATACATAAGGCACAGAAGCCCTATCTAAAACCTACAATCTTACTGAAGGAAATGACTCCACAGATACTAGAGTAAAAAGGCAGGCTTTGGTAAGAAAAGCATGAAGACAGAATTGTGAGACCATCTTGTTAATTTTTGTGATTCTCACAGGGTCTATTGTTCTGCCATGCAAAAAGAAATGATAATAATGATGATAACAAGATAATAATGATAATGTAATTGCAAACATTCTGAGTGCTTGCTACATACCAAGCACTGTGCTAAGAGCTTATGTATCCATACATTGCTTCATTTAATTTTTACAACTCTGTTAGGTGCTTCTTATTAAACCAGATGACATATAAGGGAATTAAGGCAAAGATTTTCTCTGGAAGATACTAAAAGCATCATTTGCTTTTCATCTCAATTTCAGCACCATGTAAAAATTTGGGGGAACAAAAATGAAAGGAAATGTTTATTTTGCTTTAGATGCCACTAGAAAGTAGACTTTGAAGGGGAAAGAAGAAAACTAACATGACTTGAATATCGATCATATACCAAGCACCTTTATATATATATATATATAAGGTGTATAAGGTGATGTGGCCAGGACACAGCGGCAGAGAAAGGCCAGAGTGTCAGGTGCCCTGGGATTGGCAGGCGATGAGCTTGGAATGACTGGACCAGACTGAGAAGGCCTTGAAAGCCATGCAAAGGCTTTTGGACTTAATAATGTAGACAATTGAGAGCCACCAAGGGTGACTACCCAAAGAATCCATAAGGACAAAGAGTCTGAACAGGGCCTTTTGCCATCCTGTTCTGATGATCACAAAGTCCCATGTTCAGAACATCACAGTCTGTTGCCATGGAAATAGTAATGGGCCTCACTATGGGAATAAATTACCCTCATCATTATACCTTTCTTCCAAGGAACTCAAAGTGTTTGTTGTATGTGTTTTCTTTTCTTTCTTTCTTTTTTTTAAATAGTAGCACCAGATGGTGGTTAAGGGAAAGAAGAAAGCCTAAAGACTGTTGAATTAAAGGGGATTTCAAAGGAATGGAAGGAAAAACACAAGTTGAATTTTGAAAGGTTTAATCAAAACAGATGGCAGAATATCTCAGCCTGAGGCAAGGGGAAAATTGTCTCAGAATCCATCTGAAGTGGGAGCTTCTTCACCCTTGTTTCCTGGGTCCCTGTCTGCTGCCTCTTTGCAGGCTGATGGTTCAAGCTGGTTAATGAGGAAGGAGAGATGTATGTGTATGTGTGTGTGTGTGTGCGTGCACGTGTGTATCAAATAATGCATATGCCAGACATAAGAATTAGCATTGTTGAGATGACTTTTTAATTAAGTTACTATAAATACTGATTTATTATGCATGTGATCTTTATTTTCAGACAACAATTTTTTTTTTAATAACCAACAGAAAGTTTTACAAATCTTCACAGAATTGTGTCTGTTATTTTCACCCTGGGGGTAGAAGGAAACTATTGTTTCTGTGTATCTAATTTGTATACACTTTCCTATATCACCCTATTTTAATTACCTATTTTAATTTAGTCTTTGAAGTAGAATCATCTTCTAAGGTAGGCATTGTACTCATTACAGAGGAAGTTGAGGCCCACAGAGATTGCAAATATTACCCATGTTATTTCTAAGTAATAGAACCCTAGTCTGAACTCTGGTTGGTACAGGCATTTTCCAAAATTGCAAGAGTTCTGGCACTGCCAGATTAAGTTTCTCATCCTCTCTTGACCTCAGTTTCCTCTAAACAATAGAGAAAGCTTTGTCTACTGCAGCATTCTCCCTTTTTGGGTGTGGCTATGGAGAAGAACATGAATGTGAAGAAAGATAAACACTGTGTCTATTTTCTGATATTCTGTGCTAGTCATCTGAGACCTCTGAACCCCTGGCTTATTTTGAGTGGACAAATTGTATTCTAAAGGATTGAAATAGTTATTTAAAAACAAAAAGTAATTATGAAATGCAAAAAGTGGAGGGAAGTGAGGGCATAAGGGGTCCCAAGTAGTTACATTTATACAACACATATTTAATGAGTCTCTACTACATGCCAGGCACTGAGCTAGTTGGTGGGAATACTAAATGAGCAAAACAGACAGGGTCTGACTATCCTACAGTGCCTAGAAAAGGAACATTCATGCAAGGACTTCTACCTGGAAGCTGCATTTAAAATAAGGTCCCAGCCATTATCTTCCATGATTATTTCCTAAATTTGCATTTTGTGCCTGCTCCAAGGAGGGAAGGAAAGTTATTTGACTTTTAACCTGATTTAACAGTCGGGCATGTGTCCTCAGTGCACTCCCAATTCCTCCAAACCACACACAGTACTTCTCAGCTTCCTGAATATTTCTGAGGTTTTGATACGAACCACACAGTAGATGAATGGGGCACAACTACTGGGATTTGAATCCTTTATCATTCAACCTTTTATGGACCGCGCTACTTCATGAAGTGCACTAGTGGCTGATAACCCAATTGTCGGGCTGCATATTGTGGTTTTGCTGTGAGCAAGAAGGGAAAGAGAGGAGGGTGAATAAGCTTCAGTGTAATGGTGGTGGTGGGGTGGCACAGAGAACCCCACCCCAGGAGCATGCCCACCTTATCTTCAGTATCATTTTGAATCCTTCCAACCTCCAGGAGCAAAAGGGGAAATATTTTTCCATAAAAAGCTGTACCTCTTTGTTTGGATGTTTCTAAAACATTCTCTCTCAAAGTTCTTTGTTTTCTATGCTCCCCCACTCTGATCCATCTAATGTAGATCTGTGCACAACCAAATTTAACTAAAGCTTAAGCTAATTTAGAAGCATTTCTTACCTAAGGTCTTTGTGTTTGGGACTGATGAGAAAATAAATGAACCTTTTCTAAAGAAGAAGGCTGATATGGAGCCAGAGAAGTACATCCCAAACAGGTTGTAAATGACAGGAGGTTTAGAGAAAACAGAGAGACCATAACCAAACAGGGCTTAGAAAAACCTGGAAAGGCTGCCCTAAGGAGCAGCAATTGGGAGCAAAGAAGAGGAGAGATCAGGGGGAATTTGAGAGACAGAAGCCCTTGGGAGCATTCATGGATTTTCATCACCATGCCAGAGGCAGTTTAAGACAAGGATTCATTTTAAAGAGTTGGGCCATGGCCTTAGAAAAGATTTTATACTTTATTCTAGGAGTCACTGGATTGAATGTTAGGAGTGATTGAGAAGGAGGATCAAAGAATCAAGTGATGGTGCCGTTTTTGAAGGGGCAGAATTCTAGACAAGAACCAGGGACCTTGGCCCTGAAAGAATATAAAGAAGTTCATCTTGTCTTTGTCAAGCTTGTATCTTGCTTGCATGCAGGAGCCTGAAACTCTGTGGAGAGGTTTGGGTTGGAAAATGAATTTGGGAATGGTTAACGCATAGGTACTTAATGCTAGGGAATGGATGTGTAAAAGTATTATCATCTGCATTTTAAAAGAAGAGAAAAATGAAACTGGGGGAGGTTAAGTAACTTGTCAAATAAACACATTTTGCCACCAACCTGTGGTGGAACTAATATTCAAACCAAGGCCCATAATGGGTAAAAATGGTAGTTACTGATATTTTTGTTGTTCTTCTGGCTATTATTTCTTACTGAGGTTAAGAGCTTAGGGCTTATTATATTTATGTAAAACCTGCTTAGCACCCTAAAATGCCCCATAAAAATCCTCTATGATGATACTACAGTGTCCTGGGAAACCCCCAGGCTCTGCCTCCCACCTGTCGTTCTAAACCCATTGCTGTGTCCTGGGATCTCAGTTTCTGTTCCTTTGCCCAGCACCTGGTTATTTCTGCCTCTGCCCAGATCCTTCGGACTGACACTTCAGTGAGACTCTGTTTGGCACTCTTCCAGCTTTGCCCATGATGCTA